AGAGAGACCCTTATAATTATGGATGTAAATTTCATTTACTTCTATTCCAGCAAAAGTATTTCAAGCAGACTTTCGCCCATAACGCAGGCCTGTAAGGAGTCTTGCATTGCTTTGTGCCAATGGATGAAATCATCCAGAAGAATGAATAACTCCTTATTTTCTCACAGCCAAGGAAGAGGTTATTAGTGTAATACTTATGTTGTTTCAACGTTTCTTTCACAGAGGAGGTGCAAATACAATTCGAACTTGGTGACAGAGTCGACGCCCTGCGAGCCTAAGAGTGGTTGCGAAACCTCACCACAATAAACCCTGTACTCGTTTTCTCTATCCCCTTTCTCTCAATAAATGTGTTGAAATTAAACTAAACGGATTGTTTAAAGTGCACTAGGAATAAGGAAGAGGAGGCGTACAATCCACGCCCTACACTGGTAGCATGGCCTGCAGGACTACCCCCTTTTGGAGATGACATGAACATCGAAGACTGGCTCAAAACTTCCAAATTTGATCACCATCTCTATCCTCAGTGTCAAAGAATACCCTTTATTCTCCGCGCCCTAATACATAATTCAATAAGGAGGCAGTTGACGTCGGTAAAACGCACAATGCCGACGTTGACCTAAGCAGTGATACATTGGCTACATTCGTCATCGTTCGCAAACAAACCATTGTCAGAGACTTATTTCTCCAATTCCAAGATGCCGACTGGGACGACAAATAATACGATTGTAGCAGGCGAGATGCGGTCAAGTCAGATGCAGCCGTCGACGCGTGAGATAGGGAGGAGACGGTCAGAGCCAATAGCAGTCGACGATAACGCTGACGAGGCAATGAGATGTGTAAAGTGATTAGACTTCTGCGTAGCCAATAAGAAGTGTGCCTCAGTGTGATGAGAGGTGGTTATAAGGGAGGGGCAGTGAGTCACGCGATGCTATCACGCTTGAATCGGTTGGTGACTTGCTAAGCGAGGAGGACAATGAGCGGCAGGGGCAAAGGAGGTAAATCGCGGGCTAAAGCGAAGACAAGGTCGGCGCGAGCTGGTCTGCAATTCCCCGTGGGTCGTGTGCACCGTCTGTTGCGTCGTGGCAACTACGCGGAGCGCGTGGGCGGGTGCTGGAGCACCGGTCTACTT